AGTAAACCTTTTCTGTGGCACTGATTTTATCCTTCTTCCTCTTCCCTCCATTTCCTGTCTTTCTTCTTTGGTCCTCTCTCCTTCCCTCCAACACTCTCCCTCTTTTCACTCCTTCCTCCTGTTTATTAGGGAAGTATCTCTCTTTGTAGCTCATGCTGGCCTCCATGACTCTCTTTCTCACTTCTTCAAGTGAGAATTCCATTCTGCATTAGAATCTTGATAAACAGATATTTACATTTTGATAATATTCTGATTAAAAAAAGCATAGGAATAGGAGAATGTCCACAGGTGCCTGGATTCCTCTGACTGAGCTTTTACAGTCAACTTGCTGTTGGTGGAATGTCCTCTTAGACATCTGGATATCTTGAGCTTGGTGTTAACATTTAACTTTTATTCTTTTAAAGCAACAGATAACAATTGTATTAGTCAGGATTTTCTAATTAACAGAATTCATAGAATGAATCTCTCTGTATGTATAGAGAAGGAATTTCTTATTATGCTTTTAGGTTGTAGTCTAGTTATTCCAATAATGGCTGCTTATGAATGCTAGGTATATGAATCAAGTAGTTTTATGTCCACAAGACTTAATGTCTCAGCCGGTGTTCAGTATATGTTGGAATCCTGAAGAAGTAGGCTCTAATTATAGTAATGAAATGGAAGTTCTAGCAAGGGCAAGAGCAAGCAGACAAAGAGAGGTTCCCTTCTTCCATGACATATATATAGGCTTTGAAAGAATGTGTGGCCCAGACTACAGGTTGGTCCCCACCTCACAAGACCTAAATTAAAGCTGTGTCTTCCCCCCTCCAAAGACCCAGAGTAGGAGTGGATCTTTCTACTTCATGTGATTTAATTGAGCGTATATTCTCTTACAGGTGTGGCCAGACAGTTTTGGATTTTATTTAATTCCAACGTAGTCAATTGACAAAAAAATAGTCATGTTTGTTTAAAGGCAGACAATAAAAAAGGAACACTTTTAGTAAATCTAATAAATCTATTTGCGCACCTTTCCATGCCTGTAAATGTTCTCAAAACTCACTTATTGAGGTAACTGACAATGTTTCATCACGGCTCTATAACTAAGGACAAATTGGATCTGCAAATGTTTTCAAAATCTACAGTAATAGGCAATACCTCCCACTCCTGTTGCTCTATCCAGGATATTCTTTGAACAAAGTTTCCTTCATGAAGGACCGAGCAGCCTACATCTGCAATGCCAACACTTGAGCGGCTGAAACAAGAGTTTTGTGAATTTCAGAAAAACAAAACTGGGCTACAAAGAAAGACTCTGTCTCAGAAAACATGAGAAACACAGAAAATTATTGATCCTGAGTTTTATTTGTCTTGGTAAACAATTTCTTTACTTTGACTCTTCAGAATGATCTAAGTTTCTTGAAAGCAAAACACAGGTATGCCCTTATTTCCCTAATAAACGTTGTATACCCATTATTTAAAAGATTAACTCTGAGATTCATTCATTAAAAAATAAAAGACAAGAATAGGTATAAGATGAAATATATGTCCTAAACACCATTTTGAACACAGTTTCCAAAATCAGTTTGATATGAAAGGATCTGTTCCTTGAAAGACATGACAGTTTGATGATCACAGCTTCTGAAAGGTATTGTTAGAACTCTGTATGAAAATATGTCAGCCTCAGACTTCATCTTCACAGGATTCCCTTCAAAGGACTGCACTGGTCTAGACATTTGTTTCACTCTGTATCTGCTTCAGTCTTCAACACTCTTGTCTTGTCAGGGCAAAGGTCAAAACTCCATTTATTACAGTTGAATCAGGGAGTTCAGACCCTGAAGACAAAACTGTGAACAAGAGGTGAAACAGTACATGTTTAAATCAGATGTTGAAAATCATACAGAATTTTGCTCCTTCACTTATAAAGAGGTTTTTGAGGCTAGGCTGGAGAAGCCAGAAGATTGATCGGTGTGAATCCAGAATAAGTGTTAAATCATATAGATACATAAAGAGAGAAAACCTTTGTATTTTGACATTAAAAGCAAATGCTGTATATAAAATTTTTCATCCCAAAAGCACGGTATGGAAAATTTTTTATTACTGATTTCACTCCACCAGCTTATCTTACAGATAAACTGTGCACCCAGAACTATTTTGTAAGTTTTCCTGTAGTGAAGTAGTTTAAGATTGGACGTGGCAAGTATTCTGAAGAGTTTTGAATGCAAAAAAAATCAGAAATCATAAAATGTGTTCTAACCATTTTTATACCATTATCACCCCCACAATCAGGAAATTTCATTAAATACTCAGATTCAATCCCATATTCCTTGGAATATTGCTCCACACCAGAGTCCCCAGAAGTTCAGCTTAAAACATCAGAAGCATCCAGGAAATTCCCACTGTAAAATGAATCAAAAGGTCAGGGAAGAAAGCTTTGGAAGAAACCACAAGGCTCATGTGGATCCACTTTTAGGAATGCCAAGAAGGAAAGACAATCAGAGCAAAGACATAAATATCCCCTTTGCAAATGGAACCTTCTACTCCCTCCTTTCATGACTACACCTTCAACAAGTAGAATAAAATCTGCAGGATTCCGAGGACAACCACAAAATTACCATCTTGGATGAATGTTTCCACATATGCCTTTTAACTTCTCATTCTGTCCCAGTGCCTCAAATTTTTGTTGTGGGTTTTATTTCAAATGAAAATCCATCAGACTTCAATTAATCATCCTCCACCAACAGTAGCACTAAACCTGTATAAGTTCTGTCATGTATTTATCAGAACATCTTGATCATGTATTTTCAAGCCCAGAGATGCAATCTGTGTGTGTATTAGTATATCTGCTAGGGACACACTTCTACAGAACAGCTGCAATGGTATAGAATAACAGTTTCCCCACACAGAGGTCAGGTGAATGGGCACACTGACTCGAGCGCCCTGTGAGATGGGTGACAATAGCAGTGTGGCCAGCAATGCTCTGGTATTTTAAATAATCAAAGAAGGGACTGATTTTAAGCAGTATAAAATACCCAAGCTTCTTGTTCCTCATTTTCTAGTGCTGGCCTGATCAGATTAGATTAATAATAAACCAGAATTTGCCTTTGGCAAATGATAAAGATTCACAGGATGCTTGTAACTTATTGTGAGGATTAAAAGGATCCTTGTAGTGGTTTCAGACTGGCTACAGAGACAAGAGTAAACCATTGAGAGTAAGCACAAATAGTTCTTCTGTAATGGTATATAACACAGAATGTGCCAAAAGCAAACTGGTGTCAACACAAGTGGTTATTTCCTCCTTGTTGGATACAAAGCTGAGAGGTGAACTGTCCACAGCAAACACAGCGAGCTGTCTTAGTTTCTGTCTTAGACACATCCTAACTTCCAGACTTCATGGAGCATCTCTTTGGTGACTACAAGACTAAGTATTTCATCCTTGATGATACTGAAAGGCTGTAACATTGTCTTAGCACCAAAGACAAAAATCACCATAGAGAAGGACAGTTGTGTGCCTCCTTCAATAAGAGTGATGAGGAACAAAAGCTCTGGATACGGTTTGCTTTTGGCTTTCTTGATGTGCCCAGCTTTTCATTTTAAACTTGTTTTATCAACAACTTGTTTTATAACAAGAACCCTAAAAGTGGTTCTATCCCCTTGTGTCAACACCTGAGAGTCATATTAAAGAGGTGATACATTTCGAATAATTTCTATGCCTTTCAAATAGATTTTAATAGTTAATTAACTTTTAGGTGTAAAGATGTTTTGCTAGCATGGGTAGAAAGAAGATTGTGCACTACGTACATGCATTGCCCGACACCGTCAGTAGGGGGCACTGGGTTCTGATTCTGACTTACTGGAATAACAGATGGCTGTCATCTGTCCTTTTTGGTTGTTGGGAATCAAGCCCAGGTCCTCTGGAAGAACAGCCTCTGTTGCTAACTGCTGAGTCATCTCTCCAGCCCCTTTCTGCTCATTTTAATAATAGTCTCACTCTACATACCAAGGTTTTATTTTTAAAGGTTCTTCCATGATTGGCATTTGTATGATCAACATTTGTTTTGCTTTTGAATTTGTGTTTTCTACCTAATTCCCTTCTGACTCAAAACTTTTTAACTAGCCAGAACTAAGTAATAATCCAGTACTGACAGATCTAATGGAATGCAAGATTCCTAGTGCTATGTAATCCGTTCTAAAGCTCAGGTTCCAGACACTTCTCTGCCTCCATAATTAGAATGAAAAGGGGAAACAGTGTACCTGAGAGGCTCAAGGATGGCAGGCGTGGGCATACTTGCCTTAAGTCATTGAACCAGCTTCACTTTGGAACCTTCAACTTTGAAGGGACCACAGCACTTTTCAGAGCTCTAGTGCAGGTTTCCCAGTAACTTATGTGGTACCTCCTTGCTTTGCATGAGATGGAGCAAAGAGTCAGTAATCGGTCCTCATTTTTAACTCTTATTTTCTCTTTAATGGGAAAGGAACATTTCTTACAGAGTTCCTTTAAGACTCACCTTAGGGGCTCCACCAAGCTGTCCTCTGTTCCAGCAGGTACCACTTTGCAACAGGGGACTGAATGCCCCTTGTTTACCAGGCACCAGAGAAATTTCTGCTTGGATTGGAAAGGTACTCCTGTGTCCTCTCTGAAGGCACAGAGAGAGTTGACTCCGAAGCCCAGGATGTAAATAGGAGCAGCTGGGGGTAGGGTGTCCTGAAGTGCCCCAGGCGCGGGGTCCCACCCTGATGTAGCAGCTTGTGGGAGTGGAGTTGTCCAAGTGGAAGCTGTAGGGGCGTGGTGCTAAGGATTTGCCTGTCGTTGCCCCGGGGCGGGCATACATACTCGCTGCCCAATCCCTAGCCTCAGTCTCAGCCTTATGAATAAACAATAAAGCCAAGCGCCCTCCCTCTGGCATCCCAGACAGCCAAGGGAGTGTGGGCGGCCTCTATGTGGGTCGGTTGAGGCAGGGATGCCTAGCACCGGTGCTGCCGCTGTCCTCTGTGCTCAGCTGTACTGAACGCTCACAGGTGAGGAAAAGCAAGGCTTCTGCAGACTCGGCGAGAGGAAGGGGTGGAGCGGGATTCCAGGGCGGTACGTGGTCGCTCTGTGTTTGGGGCAACCCTGCGGTTGGCGGTGGAGCACCCTGCACCCTCGCCGGAAAGGAGCTGACTGAGCAGGGACAGCTTTGTGAACACTGGGAGAATCTTGCAGGCCTGGAAGGACTTCCAGCACTACTTGGTCCACCCCAGACTTACAGGTCAGTACCTGGGATCGGCCTTTGTGCAGACAGAGCTTCTAGGCTGGCTGCTTTTTTTGTTGGCTTTGCTCCTTGCATTTCAACCTTGAGGAAAAGAAGTTCCTCAAGACTGTGAGTCAGTCCTTACAGAGCTTGGATCGCAATGCCCCTGTGACTCTTAAAACCTCGCAATGAAGGAGAGAGATTGGGGGTTGGGTGTGTTGGCCTCCAGAATGGGTCTTGCTACTTTACAGAAAACAAACATTTCAGTGTTTGATACTATGAGGTCTGCGAGCCTTCTTGCTCTACCTGAGTTCCCCAGAACAGATGAAGGACGCTTCTAGGGAAGGTCACCTCATTAGAAAGAAGGCCTAGGGGTCAGGCTGGGAAAAGGCTTCACTGTACTTGATACTCCAGCATGGCACATGGGCACTGTCCTGAGGTGCTGAGATGTCGCACATGCATCCTGGTCACTGGCAGAGTCCAGGCAATGTATATATAATCATGTAGAAGATAAAACTCTGGCTAAGCAAGGGGACAGGCAAAATGGGACTCTCGAGAATTTGGAGCTTTCCGAGATGAGACATTCCTTTCTTTACTTAGAAAGAAAATTTGGGTACCAAATTAAAATGCATATCTCTTGGGGAAGATCGCAAAGAAGGCTGCTTCAAGTGCCTCCAATGTTTTCCCTTTGAAACTTAAGGAGAGTTAAGGCAAGTTCAGAAACCACCCACAGAGTTCTGAGAAAGCTCTTCACTGAGGACCAGTGCACGTGGTCAGAAATTGCCTGCCTCCCCTTCTTTCTGTGTTTTTTCTTGATCACAAGTCGCCTATTGAGCTCCTGTGTGCGTCTCCCTCAGTTAAGCATCTTCTGTGCTGGCAGCTTCAGCACTGAAGCCAGCAAATCATTAGCAGCATCATTCAGAAAGATTCAGAGTCCTGGGAGGGAGGTTCCACAGTGATGGAACACTGCTTCTATTGTGCAGAGGAGAGATTAAAGCTGTCTGATTCACTTGTGTGGATGAAGTTGAATTTGTTACATTGACTGTAATAATGAACCACACAGTCTTATGACCAGTCTGAATATTGATTGCAAAACTCCCAAGGCTCACCAAGGCTAAGGTAGCTACAGCAACAGAACCAATTAGGGAAATGTGGATTTGCCTTTGTTTTCATGCAAAGCATCTGACTATATATTGCGGGTGTTTCCTTCTGGAGTTTCACACCATGATAATTTGTCACTATAGAATATTTTATACTAAGTGTATGTAGAGAATAAAACTGAGGAATATGGGCTCATCTCTGATAGAAATCATTTGTCAATTGCAGATGTGCTTCACCCTATTCAGAAGCTCAAATGTCACCTTTCAAGTTGTATATATGTCTTCTCTCTCTCTCTCTCTCTCTCTCCCTCTCCCTTCCTTTCTTTTGTTCTTTCTGTCTTCCTTCCTTCCTTTATTTATTTATCTATTTTTCTTTTTCTTTTTGAAATTAGGTCTCACTGTGTAGCCCCAGCTGGTTTAGACACAGATGTAAACATGAGGGTGTCCTAGAACTCAGAGAGATCTGCCTGACTCTGGCCCCTCGTGCTGTGACTAAAGGTGTGGGCCACCATGCTTGGTGCATTGCATTGTGTTGTTGTTAATTGAATTTTGTTTATTCTAGCACAGGCAAAGAATCCCTTCAAAGGTAGTCTGGGTTTATTCTGTAAGATGAAAACATATTTTTTTCAGTTAAGATATGTGTGGTCAGTCTTATTTTTTTATATTGACTTTATTTATTGCCAATGAGAAAACTCTGTGAAACTTTTTTCGGCTTCCCTCGCCAAGTGAACGAGTTTCTTGAATCACAAAAGAGAGGAATAAAGTGTCATATTGGCCATTGATAAGAACTGCCTGACATGGAAGCAACTGCTTGCTAAAGGAAACTGCGCAGGACAGGATTCCACACTGACAATCTGAAAACGGAAGTTAGGTGAAGAACAAATATTCCACAGCTGACTGGTTCTCTAGACACTTGCAGTTGCCCCATCTTTGCACCTTGAGGCACGTGTCCATGGTACTATGTTGATATGTCTTATATTGCACAACGTTTGTTTCTTCAAACTGCTGTAAGGTTGCAGTCATTTTTTTTGTCTGTCTTCCACCCTTTGAAGGAAATAGCATGGTTATGATAATGCTGGTGGTCGTGATGCTGATGGCTTAGCAGGAGTCTCCTTATCTCTATGTCTCCATTTAATAACATTGTTGTAGTAATTTGCCCAAGGTTCTGCTAGAACTTGAATATTCTTTTTTTTTCTTTTTTTCTTTCTTGTTTTTTGTTTGTTTGTTTTGTTTGTTTTTGTTTTTTGAGACAGGGTTTCTCTGTCTTGAAACAGTCCTACCTGTCCTGCAACTAGCTCCTCTAGGCCAGGCTGGCCTCAAACTCACAGATATTCACCTGCCTCTGCCTCCCGAGTGCTGGGACTAAAGGCATGCACCACCACCACCCGGGTTGAATATTATTTTCTAATCGTCAAGGCCAGCTTCTCTTACCAAGGATAGGATGATATTCTTAGATTGAGAAGCGTGGGTATTTTATTTGTTTGCATCATCAAATAGACCGTAGCTCAGGAAAGAAGCAATATGAGGAACTCATTTATGATCTGTGGGGTGGAGAGTGCACTTTGCTTGTAGTTGACCCGAGCATTCTCCTCTTCTCAGTCAGCACTGGCCTAGGCTGCTGCACCTCTGGGGAACATACTTCTCCTGCAGCTGCTTTGTTCTTTTCTGGTCCACTGTGATGGGACAGGTTGCTGAAAGGATTCTCTGTCATCTCAACTTTTTAATTTACAGTAGAAGATGGATCCAGCCCTGTTCTTAGATGCTGTATTAGAGACCGATGACAGTTGCCAATATCGCATTGAATCAGAAATGTACTGACTTAATACCCAAAGACATAGCTAGATTAATGGGGCCATAGTTTGCTAATGAAATAGTATTGGCAAGGAGAACCTTTATACTTAGAATAAGACAAGATAAAACAGTGACAAATGGATCAATGAGTATCAAGAAAAGCACAAAGTAAAGAGAGCATTAAGAGACCCACAAAGAAGGGATGCTTTTTTTTCTCAATCAGAGAATTGCGAACTGGATTTCTGAATGGTGAGAGAGCCATTGAGAAACAAGCTGAGCTGATGCTGTGAAGCTTCTTGTTACCTATAACTGCTTCTCTCTCTCTCTCCTTGTGTGGTGTGTGTGTGTGTGTGTGTGTGTGTGTGTGTGTGTGTTAGAGAGAGAGAGAGAGAGAGAGAGAGAGAGAGAGAGAGAGCAAGAGAAAGAAACTCTCAAAAGCCAAAGCAAAGTACAGTGTAAATGATAACACAATTTGTTGGTACCGTTAAAGTGTCACATCGAATAATCAGCCCAAAGTGGGCAAGTGGTGAACACAACATACTGAGTCCTGTCAAATCTTCTGGTACAAAAGAGGCACCGAATACTCTCTTCCTTTTTAAGTGATTTTTTATAATACATACTCCCTGCCATCTATGGACTGCTTTCTCCATCTATAAGGCATTATTAGAAATGGTAGACAATGAAGACCAGTGCAGAAGAGGTGTAGTCTTGTTCTGAGTGAGAAAATTATAGGGACACTACTATAGGTAAGGAAGCTGAGCAAAAAGTAGGAAGGGAATTGGCCAGGTTTGTTTTGTTTTGTTTTGCTTTGGTTTTGGTTTTTTTTTTTTTGATAACAATTACCTGTCAGAAACATGGTCAGAGCTTAATAGGGGTACAGAGAAGAGCAAGTGTCAGGGCTAGTATGGAGGAAGCAGAATCAACTGAAAACTCACAAGTAAAGCATTTAAGAGGGAAGTGTATCTGCTGAAATTGAAGACTTCCTTGGCCCTGGTGGGTGTGGGTTTTGAATAGGAGGTGCGCAGCTGTGTGGTTATACATTTGGAAACATTGCATTCTGGCTCTTGGAAAGGTGGAGTGGCCAAATGGCAAATGCAAGAACTGAAAGACTGCAAAAGACCAAACGAAACTACATGCTATTGCCAAAACAAGTTAACTGTCCTCGGTAAACATGTAGCTTTCTCATCTAAAAGATAATCAGGATCATGGTAGCACCTACCTCTCCTGGTGGAATTGAATCAGGTAAATTTCTATCATGCCCTTATTACAAATTGGCACAAAGCATTACCCAAGTAGTAGGCACTCTTGCTTGATCACTATCAATCAAGATTTTATTCTGAAGAACAAGCCATCTGGGTGGTCTATAATGGATTATAAAGGAGAAAGTCTAGACAGAGTCACCAATTAGAATAATGATGATCTAGTTAGTAAGCAACAATTCCAAGAGGATAATGAAGGACAGAATTACAGAAGTTGGGACTCAGGGATTTATAAGAGAAAAATTGTTAGTGATACTGAAAGTTGGGTGAAAAAAAAATTTGTGTTTGACATGGCACCGAGTGGCTCCTGGGTTTTGAAAGGCGGCAGAAGATCCCATCGGGAACTTGAAGGCTATATGTCAGTTTGAGTTGCAAATGAATATTTTGTAGCAGTCAATACAGGATTTGTCCTTGCTTTAAAGTTCAAACATCGTTTGGATAGAAAGGCAAAAGAGCAGACCTACAAAAGGCTGCAGCTTCCCCATCACCCTACCATCCCAGCAAACAAAGGGAATCTGAGAGCAGGGGTTTTCCTCTCCATTCCTCCTCAGTCGTTCACAATATTTCTGTAAACATCCGTCAGTTGTCACAGCTTACCTATGTCTTCCATACTCTTAGGACAGTGTTCATGGTCCTTTTATAATAGACATGAAATTTAATTTTTCCTTTGAGTTTGGTCATAATAAAAATGATTGACATGCTGGGCTCCCTGTCATGTCTTTGCTTTGGTAACACAGTGAAGCAATAACGCTCTTCATCTCAGCTGGAAAACACAGAGAAGTAAAAGTGTACAAAACCTGATGATGAAGTCTAAGGCTATGTAGGGATAAGAACACGCCTTAGGGGGCGTGTTCGCCTCGGGCTAATG